ACTATATGATATATACTCTCCAGCTTGAGGGGGAGTGTTAGAATGCTCAAGTCAGGGGTATTTTGGTCATTCTGGTTTATCTGCTTAAGAGTGAAAGGTCTATTGTATCTGAGTTTAAGTTATGTGTCTCATCTCTTATGAGGGACGAAATGGTCTTTCTTGTAACTCTATGATTTTGAATAAATACAAGTGGGTCGGCTAGGGGAGAGGTGATTTAGACTCTCTTCTAGTCTGGCCGAACTCTCTTTCTCTTTCTCTTCTTCTTCTTTCTCTTTTTTTYCTTCTCTACTTCGACCTAGAATCTACTAGGGTTTACTTATAGAAGCCACAAAATGTCAGAGTTGTGCATTGGGTAAAGACATTGGAACTCTTTCAAGCATTCTTAGTTAGGGGTACAACTTGGGCAGGCCCAACCCGAGCCCGAACTGACCCAACCCAAAATTTTACATGGGATGGGATTGGACTTTTGGTCCTTGGGTTGGGCTTAGTCCCAAGAATTCAGGCATTTTTATTTTTTGGGTTGGGCCCGGGCTTAGACCTTAGGTAGCCCGAACCTGACCCGAGCCTGGCCCAACTATACACATTCCTACATATATATGTAAATTTTTGCATATGGGCATGAGATATGTAGGATCTGTCAATCTATTTCTACTTTCTAAGACTTGGTGTGATAAGGTGGGTACATATCCACTCAATTGGATATGCACTAGTGGTAAATTAATGTTGGTAAAATGAAGATTCCACTTACAGGCCAGAACTTGAATTTATGCAGTCTCTAGAAGAGATCTTTAAACCTCATAAAATTTGGAGTTTCAATATATTATTTCAATTTGGGTATTCAAATATAATGTTTCAAGTTTATTTGTTGCATCATTTATTTCCAACATTTTCTTTTTAGGAATTAATAATGAAATACATCTAAATAATAAGCATAACCTAAATGATTGGAATTAATATTTATTATCCAATACACCATATGTCAATTGGTGGATCATTCATAGCTGAGTTTGGTATATCCCAAAATTTTGGGGTTACATGGGTTCAACTCTTAGATGCATACCTGCACCTCAGAGTCACACCCAAACTGTTGTGTTATGGGAGTAGAGACTTCATTCACACATGTATTCTAATTGAATATTTGCTATTTTCTCGAAATTCAAAGTCTATAATTTTAAATTATATCTAGCCCATATACTTCCAAGTTAAGATTTATTCTATTCTCATTTTTCCTTTCTTTCTTTTCATTTCAGAGACTCCTAACAGATGAATCCCCGCGTCTTAGGAATGCATTGCGCTACACAATATATGGAAAATCTGGAGTTTTTGATGCTGAAAGGTTCATTGATGTCATGCAAGCTTTTGAGAACTTCATAACTGCAGCTAAAAGTGGAGGTGGAGAGAACCTTAATGGCAATATGGCTGAGCTTGGCCTTTTACAAAGCCAGACAGGTGCTATCATCCCAACTTCTCTATCTGGAACATCTCAGCCAGTCCAGCCAGTTCAAACAAGAGCAGCTCTGGCTTTTTTGTTGTCTGACAAAGGGAACTTTTTCCGAGAATTCCTTCTAGATGAGGTATTATGTCTACCTTGTTGATCATCAACCAGCATCAAAGAGAATTTATTTTAATAAAGTAAAGACTAAAGAGAAAGAGGAATCCTCCACTCATAAAGTGAAGGGGACCCAAAGTATATAAAACTGACATACACTAGTTGCAAAAGCATAAATCAACCTTGCTGCTCAGACTGAGGTTTGGAGCCTTGCAAACCAAGGTATAAAATACCAGTTTTGGTTGAAATGTTGACCACTTCAAAATAAAAATAAGAAATATTCTAGAAATATTGTAAGTTTCATGTTGATTTAATGTAAAATATTTATGAAAATATCTGTTAATATTTTTTGAAATTATAAAAGGTCATACTTTTTTTAAAATTATATCAGTATAAAGTGATAAAAGTTATGCTTTTAAAGCGATTATACCATTTTAAGATGATTATTTCATTTTGTTCAGAGGTATTTTTGTCTATTCATTGTTCATTATATAAATATTGCATGTGTGAATGCACAAACACTTGTTTCGTCTCTCACCATTCTGGTACTCTTGTATGGAACTTAACTAATATTCTTGTAATGGAGTGAAGATGTTGCTGCTTGTAGATATGTATACTGGATGTTTGAGACACAATTCTTGTCAAAATGTTCTGAAAATCGTAATTGTATTGTAAACCATGGAGAAAGTTGAATTGAAACGGATCTTAAATCATAAGATAAGTTATTTTTTTTTTACAAACTTGTGAAATAATCCACACAGTGGCTATTTAATCTACATCTGATTGAAATCTGGTCTTAAATAACCTAAATAGATCAATTTCTAACAAGGGCTTTAAAACAAGTCTCCCTTGAACAAACTAAATAGAAAAAAGAAATGACAAAATAGAGAAATAATTCTTAATTGAATTGATTTGAATCTCACGAATCATATAAATGTAAGATTTATGAATCAAATTGTGAGATTCAAACAAAAATTGTAAGATTTTTTTTGCAAAAGAAGGATTCAGACATAAGGTTCAAATTTAAACCCTTAGGGTATTCAAATCTTTAATTTGTATTGTGACTTGTAAGATTTGACAAGATTGCTTGTCATGATTCAAATCTTTAACTGTTGGTTTCGGCATATGAGGCAGATTGTGAAAGGGATTGATGCAATTTCAAGAGATCAGTTGGTTCAAATAATGGCAACTGTAGGATTGCAAAATTCAGCCCCAGTATTTAGTGTGATGCCTGCTCTAGGTCCTCTTAAGCCTTCAACCCTTGTACCAACTATCACAGAAGAGGACAAAGTTATATTGAACAATGTTCAGAAAGTTGTTGAATTCTTAACTGCTGGAGCTTCAGAATCAACATCAAATCAGGTATGCTTAAATTTAGATGTTATCAATAAAGCTTGCTTTTTCTGTGTCTAGAAGTAGATCAAAGTTTGCACATTCGATTTGTTTCAGAGTTRACTTATTTATGCCAATGGTACTGGCTATTGTATTAGAAAGTTTAATTTCTCTCTGTTTGACTAAGGGAAGCTTGTCTGAATATATTCTTGTCTTTGTCTTGGGCGAACTTTGTTTTGCTTAGATAGCTTCTGGAAAGGGATTTATAGTAGGGTCTTGGTGCATGTTAATCTAGTTAGTGTCATATATTAGAACCGTGATTTGGTGATGCATGACCCAAGAATCAAAATTGGAAATTTCTAGATTCTATAGGTATTGCCTTGCATCCATTACCACCCTTCTTCCTTTGTCAGTATCATTCAGGAAACAAAGGAATTTTGATCTGATATAAACTTGTATATTCTTCGCTGCTTAGCTGTGAAGTACTGAATACACCATCTTCAATGAAACCTTTATGAATATATTATTTTCAGTTGTTGCTAATGCTATGTCATAGTGGTCAAACCCACAGACCAAAATTTCTTTGGATTCTTGAAGGGAATTTGATGAATGTTCTAGCTCATACTTTTGTGGGGAAGAACCAACAGAACTTCTGCACATTGTTTATCTTTTACTTGATATAAAAGATGTCCCATTCATGTGCCTATGTTTTGGGTGTTGGCAGAATGTAAACGTTGTTAAGGTTGTCCAAGAACTTCTTCCGGTGTTGCCAGGCATCACAGCACGAGTTCTCCCTGAGGTGCTCAGTCGGTTATCTTCACGGGTGTTTGCACGCTTAATTCGGGAAACCTTCCTGTGAGGAACCCAATGTGACGACAACTGAAGTTTGACCTCTTGTACAAAATTCCTTATCCATGAATGCCTTATTTTTGTTTCTTCAATTTTCTATTGAAAGAAAGAAAGATATGTTTACAGAATGATATATGGTGTAACGAAGGTAAATGATTAAGCCAAGGGGGTGCCTGATCAACAGGCCAATTGGTATATGCCACAAAACAAGAGAGGTGACTACTTGATTCGTCATTTTTTCTTTATATTATGTATATAAACAAATTATAGCTTTTGAAATATAACGTCCATTATCCAATTTTAGATGGGTAAGGTCTTTAGGACCCTCTTATAAGTGTTTTAAGGTTCCCCCAATATGACTGAAAGTCTCTAACTGCATTTCATAATGCAACGTGAAAGTTGAAACCAGGTCCTGAAGCTTATTTTTTCAAATTTTGATCAATATGGACTACAACACGGAGCACTGTGTTAACGATACTTCCAGTGAAGAGGATGAAATCAAGGTTCAAAGTATCAGAAATGCAAGGTGAATCTGAAAAACAATTTTAAGAGATGTATTGGGATATGCTTTGGATACACATGGATATAAACGAAAACTCAAAATATACATAAAGATGTTAGGAAATTAAAAGAAATCTTAAAAAATATATTATTAACAATAATTACTAGTTTTATATGATTCTAAATAAGTCATTTAAATGTAAAAAATCATAATTTAATAATTTATATAAAGTGTGAGATATTGGGACATAATTAGTAACAAAATGTGAAAAAAACAAACAAATTAAAATGTGAAAAAAAACAAAAAAAAACAAAAATATATATGTATATACATCAATTTTCAAATAACCAATATAATTTATTTAATATCTTTTAGTATATAAAATTTAATAATTAATTCTAGCATTTATTATTTATTAATAAACACCCACTAAGAAAAGAGAATATTTATTTTAAAATAAAATGCATATACTCATAATAAACAAGTGGGGGTGACTTGGTGACGAACTTATGGTTGTTAAAGTTTAGTGATTAAGGTTCAAGTATTGCCATTGCCTAAAGTTTGTAGTTTTTACAAAAAAAAAAAAACTAAATTAATGAGAAAGAGAGAGAGATCATTAATTAACGAAATTAATGAAAGAATTTGAATTAGGTAGAGTAACTAACGAAATTAATGAGGGAGAATTCAGTATTAAATATAGATTAAGAAGGGGCTTTTATCTGTGTGATGCCTATGAAAAGAAACAACACAAGTAAATGTTACATGTTTCGTGTATTGGGTTCTTGTCATAACGATACGTATCAGCTAATATGGCCCTATGTTGCGATTTTTAAACCTTGGCTGAAATCCTTGTGCAATAGTAAGGGCCTTTTCGTTTCCTCTTAATTCTTACCTCTTAAGAGGAATCTTACAATTGTTTCCTCTTGTCTCTTATTTGTTATCTCTTAAAGGGTCTTGTGTAATAGTAAGGAGTTCAAATCAGCCCCCCACAATGTCCTACAGCACATCCCCACTGTGTATTGGGAACATCTCCCGATGATAATATCCCCAATGATGATGTCATCATTGGGAGATGTTCCCAATACATGGCGGGAATGTGCTGTGGGACATTATGGGGGGCTGATTCGGTCTCAATAGTAAGGGCCTTTTCCAATGACACCTCTAAAACACAAAACACTTCTCATTCCTTTTAATTCAAGGTCCTCATATGCAATAATAATAGTTATTATTATTATAATTAAAAGTTAGTTAATAACTAATTAATAATTAATTAATACTTATTATTATAATAATTAATGATTATTACTTATTAAATAATAATTAATAAATAGTAATTATCATTAATTAATTCATAATTAATATAATAATTATTATTAAATAATAATTAATTATTAATGATTATAAAATTTTTTAATATTATCTCTTTATTGAATTACAAAAAATAAAAATAATTAATAATTATTATTACTATTAATTATTAAATTTTCTTAATTAATTACAATTAATTATTACTAATAATTATAATTCATCTTTAATTAATAATAATTATTAACTATTATATTAATTATTATTAATTATTAATTAATAATTAATTGTTAATTAACAATAATTGTTTATTAATGATTATTAATTGTTATTAGATAATTGTTAATCTTTATAATAATTTTTAATATTATTTTTTATTGAATTACATAAACAAACAAAAATTTTCATATATGGGGTTAAAATGGATATTTGACAATTTTCAGAATTCAGAACAACATTCTCTGCATTCAGAGTTTAGAGGAGAAAAAAATTCACCAATACTAATATACCTCTTAATGTAATTATTGCACTTTCAGATGTCAGAGAAAACAAATAGATCGTAATTGTAACTGAGAATGAAAGAATGTATGAATTAAGCGAAGGGTAGCTCCATAGCTTCAGATGCCCTTATTCAGGATTTCTACCATAAAAGCAAACTAGTGGAAGAACTCATCTTCTCTTCATCCATAGATAGCAACTAAAAGATGATACAGGGAGATGAAGATGAGCATGGCAAGGGTAAAGACAATCAGGGGTGGTAATGCTGGTTCTGTTGGTGTCCTTTATGGTGGCAACTGGCAAGTAGGGTGAGCGAGCTGTGAGATGTAGTTGGTGCGAATAGATGAAGCACCTAGGCTGGTCCATTCCATGGTGGCTCCCTTGTATCATAGAAACATTTGGTGCAACTCTTGGAGCTAGGTTGGGAAGAGTGGTTAGAACTTACAAAGGCCATACCTATGGACCTATGATTAGGTAGCAGTGTTCATTAAGGCTGTGTTTGGTTTGAAAGATAAGATGATAGGGAAAGGTAAGGAAATTGAGTTTAGCATTGTTATATCAAACCCTCTCCATCCAGAAACTCAAGGATGATCTGTGCCCAAGGGCTTTAAGTCAGGATGGGTTGTTCAACCCCCAACCTTTACCCTAACCCAACCCAATGACTTCAGGTTGGGTTGGTATTGGCCAGATTGGATTGAGTTTAGATCATGGGCATTCACATCTTGGTCAAATGGAACTATGCCTGATTCTCTCATGAATCGCCTTCACCATAGGTATGGCATTCAAGGTCTGAGCCTGGGGAGAAATCTTTCTTCCTAGATGCAAGGGTTTATTTCTTTGAGTGTTATATGTTCACATTTAAATCCAAAATTGTTGATACATAAATACATGTGCATAAATATGAATGCCAACAAACCTGACCTAACTCTAGCCCATGAACAATATAATTGTTATTAGAAAATGTTAGATTTATAGAYTTAGTTTTACAATGTCACCATGTGAATAGGCTGGGGCCGCTGGGCCTGGTGAAAGGTAAGCTCAATTCGAACCTCACCTGATGCCCAATTAAGATCGACCTAAACCCAACACAATAGAGTTGGATCAGGGCGGATTTCATCACTTAACCCAATTGTTTGGCATCCCTAAATATGAAGACGCATTGGATTAGGGCTGGATCGTTGTGCCCAAGGCCCACAACCTCTTTAAAACATGTAACTGATTGGCATATTTTGCCTGCTAGGGCATTGCTCTGGTTTCACATTTGGTCTAGCCTAAGGATCAAAGTATCGTATCAGACAACTTGGATACAAATACAGATATAATTGTACTTTGGAAATGTATAGACACAGACGAAAGATATGAAAACACATGGATACATTAGGAAAATATAAACAAATTCCATAAATACATCATTTAATACACTAGTTTTAAAATTAAAATAGCTATAGATAAGATATAAATGCATAAGAAATATATATTTTAATGGTATATATAAAGAAATATATTACAATTAATGTAATGGGATGCATATATATCATACAATTTTATTGATAATCCATTAATTAAGAGTCCAAGACTCATATTATATAGATATTTACAAATTAACACATGCATAAAACCATTATCATGTTATACTCTATTTAAGTTCAAGACACAAATAAATGCAATTATTATATTTTAATTACTATATCAATTATTTTTTATTTTATTATTTTTAATCTTCAACATTAACATAAAAAGTCAACTAAATATTGTTTTATAAACAATATATTTACTTTTGTAAATAATAAACATGTTATTATAAAATGTAAATCAAAATATTAACTGATAATTTATAAAATATATAATCTTAACTTAAAATATTTTTGATATCTATATATTAAAAATTTTAAAATGCATATCATATGCAAATTCATAATTTTTAATTACTAAAATAATTATTATATTATTAACATTTTTATTTTAATAATTTTTTGAAATAATAAATAATTTTTTTATATAAATTTAATATTACATGCTTGAATATTTTCCAAATAAAATTTTTTATTTTATAAACAGTAAATATGTTATTATCTAGTATAAATTAAAATATCAATTAATGATTTATAAAACTATATTAAAATTATACATACATACATACATACATACATACATACATACATACTACACATGTATACATAAATGAATTTTAAGTACTAAAATACTTATTCTATTATTAATATTTTTATTTGTGTAAATGTATTAAGAGTAAAAAATCAAATTTTGATATAAATATAAAATTGGTAAAAGTACAATTATTTCATGTGACATTTGATATGTTTCTACTAATTTAACCCTTGTATTACATTTTAGGATTATGTTTGAGACACCATATTTGAGAGAGGTACTTACTCTCTTTTCTCCAAAGCACATTATTATAGGCATGCATTTTTAAACAATAACTAATTATAACTCATGCACATAATGTCAATGTGTAATGTTGTGGCTAATTAAGTTTATAAAATTTATCTCAAAGTTATTTGATACAATGCTATGCATTTGAACAAACAGAAGAGGCTTGGTGAGATGATTATCTCATAAAATATGAACAGAGCTTCATGATTACAAAAACTTGTAGTTCTGCATCAATCACACATGCTCATCTGTCAACATCTAAATCGCTTTTTATCCTCCACCATACTTTTCGAACCATTGTTGATCTAGACAGTCAGACTGTTCAACTCGGGAACCGTTTAGGCAATCGGTTCTATTTTATCCCAAACCCGGTCCTCGGTCAAAAACTGTTTAATCGGTCAACAATTTGTTGACTCGGGCAGTTGAACCATCAACCCATCAACCCCATCCAATGGTTTTTGGCCGTTTTCTATTTTTAATTATTATTTTTTTATTTTTTTTTTATTTTTGTTGTTAGAACAGGTCGTCTGTTCAAACTGGATGGTTGAACCGTCAATCAAAAAATTGGTGGCTAGAACGGTTCCGTTTCTRGGTCATTTTTTAAAG